TACAATACTGGATTCTATTGGACAGGTACACGTATGTCGACGAGACACAGGTCGGTTTTAAAAGGGCATTACATTTGTGTGCAAGTGCAGTAGAGTCAGTATTTTACACAACGATATTTTATGGCCTATTTATTTTAGAACCACCAATATTTTGACATTTTGAAAGAACTTTGTTACTTCCAGTACAATAAGCACACAAATTTTAAAGAATCAAATTTTACAAGACATTTTAACCATTTCAAACGAAATCTTTCTTTTAAACAATGTTCGAAGTCTAATAATTGTCTGCAATGGGTAAATAGACAAGTGAATGATGTAACAGTATTTCAAGATATGCTATTCTATTGCAATGTTTCTATTACAGTGAATGAGTGAATGAGTGAGTGAGTGAGTGAGTGAGTGATTGAATGAATGAATGAATGAATGAATGAATGAATGAATGAATGAATGAATGAATGAATGAATGAATGAATGAATGAATGAATGAATGAATGAATGAATGAATGAATGAATGAATGAATGAATGAATGAATGAATGAATGAAATGCTAATTAATAAAAAAAATTAGAACGTTAGACATTCATATGCTACAAGTGTAATTTTGTATACTGTTATTAATGTTGCTTACCAATAAACTTGAATTACCAAGACACTTGAAGCTTTCCTTTCACGTTAAAAAAATGTCTTCACTGCTTTGTTCTAGAAATATCTCCTTTCTCTCTGAAATACGAAATGGAAATGTTTTAAACGAATACAAATTTTATTGTTTCGTGTAGAATTGGTAGCTAAAAGCCCAGTGGCCTGTTGTTTTTTATATATACATCATGTATATATGAATAGCAGATTCATCTTTAAGAGAAATTTACATTCATAAATGCGGGAACAAATTGAGAAACAAAGTAGAAGTAAAATTCAATTAGATGGTTTCTGTTTTTCTATTAATTACATTGTTATAACATAATGTAATTTGACGGCTTATAATTTCCGACCAATACATGCTGACTAAAACAAGAACAGAGACTGTATTCAGCACTTGAACAGGCTACACCATCTTGCACTATTAGTATAATCATTGCAAATATTTTTATCTTTTATCATAAGTCAAAAAACATATTCATGAACTTTAAAGTGCTATACATGCATATCTTCTGTCTGTAGTTTAGAAAAAATGTTGTTTGAATTTTGAAAAAAAAATCCAAAATATCTTTATGAAAGAAAAATGTTAGTTAATTTAATTTAAAGAGAACGGCGCTACTAAACTGGATGAAAACCGTATTAAAACAGCAGGATAGTTTTTTGTTCCGGAACACGGGCAATATTCATGCATGTTAAATAACAGAGGCATTCTAAGTTACAATTCTTTCGAGATCATGAGTTTTTTATACAAGCAATATAATTTTACCGTTTAGGAATTATTTTTTTATAAGATTTAGCTTTATATCCTTAAATATACAAAAACATTTATTATAATTCGCAAATGGAAGTTATGATATACAATGTATGATTTTCTTATGAAAATGACAATCAATCAAAAGAAAAACTTACCGAACTTGTATGGAAATCACAACTCGGTGAAAAATATGCTTCCAAACCCTGGATTTCCGCCATGGCTCCGTTAATTAATTATTTAATATATTCTTCATACACGTGAAATTTTATTCCTTTTCATTTTTTTATTTGTAATTTTTCTTACTTTTGCTCCAGATACTTCCAATGCACACGGCGGAATGATAAATTTGGATATGTCGCACATATTTAAACATCGGCACGTGTTTTGTTTGTTTGTTTGTTGTCAATGATATATATTGTTTGATTGATTGTTATCGCTTTTTATTGAGCCAATTCTGTTTCAAACATGTAAAAACAGCTCATCCATGGACTTACCCAAATCCGCGAAAACGACTTTAATCCTTTAAAGAGTAATTATTTTCATTCAAGGCATTTGATAGACTTTAGGTTTTTTGTCGGTTAAATGAACGGATTAATACGAAAGAAGATAGATTCTTTTATTCCTTCACAACAAGAAAATTGTTAGATATGTGTCTTATCTTGTAATAAAACCCTTTGATATTATATCATATTTTTTAGGGTAAGTGGAACAAACAATAAAAAGAGTAAGAAGAGGTCTTTACATGCGATTTTATCATGTACAATATAATACAATTGTGTTTATTCGCCATTAAACATTTTATAATGTTAATAGCATACAAAACACAAAGAGAACAGTAGGTAAAATCCACTTACATAGAAAATAAGTAAAAAGAAACATTTTTCCTTAACTTGCCAAAGTGAATAGACTTTGCTACCAGTATAGAACCAGACCAGCTAAACTTTAGTATTTCATTAACAAAATCTCCTAATAGACACTAGATTTTATAAGCATTACTTGATACAGAAGACGAATTTCAATTTGTTTGTATTTGTAATGCTTATAATGATACACGTAAACAGTACTTATAGAATTATTATTATTTTAGACCTAGTGTTTATAAATCCGTTGAACTAATGCAGAATACCAACAGCAACACACAATTTAAACTATGTAAATATTTGAAGTATTTGAAATACATACGTCATGGTATTGTTAATATGCTATCTGAATAAGCTTCTTACAATATCTACCTTTTTAGAATCAATTTAATATACAAATTGTCCATGCAATAATTTCATGAAACATTTGACTTATTTTGGCAGTGATTAAGTAATATACAATTTCTCCATTAGTTCAACCTCCATGTTTTCTAGCTTCCTTTGCTAAATTATCATATTTTCTGTTAACAAAATTGTTTATAAAATCGTGTCATGTTGACAAGTTATATTGTATATATGAATTTGTGTAGCAAGAAACGTCATGTTTACGTTCCCAAATAAAATATTTTGAATCTTGAATCTTAAATTTATATTTATTTATGTAACCATATATTATAAGTTATCACAAGTCACTTTAATTTATATCATTCTCTACATTTACATGTGTAACAAAATATTTTGTGACATTTACATAGATTTAAATAACATATACATTTTTATGTGTTTAGGTTTAATCATCTGTAGCATAAGCTCAAGTGATAATATATAAATATTTATAGAGAGGTTAAGTATAGAAGTAACATTTATATTTTAGAACTATTCTACAACTTTAACCATGAACGTAGAAACAGTATTAAATTAAAGTTTAAGAATTCAATTTATCATTTTGTGTAAAATAAAGTTTAAGATTTCAATTTATCCTTTTGTTTTCACTTTTGATGAAAAGTAGAATTTACTTGAACCGGTATGTATTATGACGCAAACATAACATAAAAATAACGTTTAATTAACTGAATAAGGTCAAAATGAAATTCGTCTTCGATTTCAAACTGGCAACCAACTCCTAGCGCTTTGTCATAGAAAGCGATAATACGGTTTTGATTTACTTGATTCGTGAAATCATAAAATTACAGGCTAAATGTCATAATGGCGTCACTGGCGTCAAATAAATTAACCACTGTCTTATTTTCCCTTTAATATTTCTGGGTAATGATTAATATTATTTTGATATTAGCTTCGTCTTAAGTCGTTAGTTTCTGTTTTAGCCAAAATGATTGATTGAATGATTGATTTACGCTCATAGAACGATCGAAATAATGTGTATTTTGTATAAGGCGTAAGTCATATCTATTTCTATGAAATATCTTTCTGATGAGTTGTTTCCGTAAGTTTGATTTATAGGGAAACTTGAATCATCAATTTACATATGAGGTCTAATTACGTATCGGAAGAACGATATTCTGATTTGGTAGCAATCGATCTGTTATTTGACCAAACACCATTTCACTTCAACTTTTCACTCCTTCTGGTTCCAAGTAGTTTTATCAAGTGCACGCGATTACTTAATTACATTTTCAGAGATTTATGCCTTTTCTTTTGTTTTAAGAAATTGTGTGTGTAACTCTCCATTTATACCATTATAAGAGTTTAGGTTAAATATTTGTATAAGCTTGCAAATTTGCGAATAGAGGCCACCTCTCTCCAGAACACTCGCGTTATTTCCTTCAAATGAAAAAAAATCATGCATCTTTATTATCATTGCGCACTAGAATTTTTTATGATATATGGAGTTTTCGTTCTTTCCTGGCTGATTCAATCTACAATATCATTTTAAAATGCATGTATACATGTATATTCATATACCAACTTATACAATTAGAAATTAATTAAATGATTTAATTATACAATTTTTGTATATTTTCAGAGGAATGCTTTGAAGCACTTATAAACACGAAACAGATATTGGTTTGCCGTCAGCTATTGTAAATGAATATACTTCACATATATTCTCTGGGTTATTTTTCTTCGCATCCAAACATCACATTGGTTTAAACACCGATAAACAGATAAAAGGAAAAAAGTTCAAGAGGTACATAGAAAAAAAAGAAAGAACAAAAAATCGGTATTGGAATTAACGCTCTCTGTGATAGCAGAGCCAAGGTGGTAAAACAATTTATCCCGAGTAAGTTATGTTGTGGGAAAATCTGATACCATCAGAATCTATTCCTTCGAATTGATGTGAAACGAAGGAATACGTAAGATATGTGTATGATTTGTGACCAATTTCCGTGATTCTTGGATGTTTTGGGAAATTTATGGTTGTTGGAAGTTGTAGTTCGCTAATAGTATTATCTTTCGTGTATATCTGGATTAAGTTCTTGGTATATGTAACACTATAATAAAGGAAACAGAATTGTTTACTTCACAAACTTGCGTGAACGGTTTCAGAAAATCTAAAAACAATATGTAAGTAACAGTGATGACTTAGTTTATGCAAATGTGGAAAAAGCATGATATTTTTATCTAACATATCCACTTTTTAATGTTAATATATGAATTAAATTTAGGTGATATAAATAATGACAAAGTGAGGATTGTTCATTCAAGATGCAAATGAAAGAAATATTTCAGACATTTTAAAATTTCACGTCGGAAATAATTTGAGTTCGATTTATTTTTTAAAAAAAAAATAAGTATATAGTTTCCAGTGATAATCAAAACAACGAAACATGAGCAGACGCGCGAGTTTATTTGCAAAACAAAACCCGGAAGTTAAAAAGAAAGGTGTACGGTTTCCGGATGAGTTGGTATTTTTGGACAATATTAAAGAAAATGATATACATGCATTAGATCACATGCTGCGGAGAGCCAGCTTACAAGTTGACATAAGTGGAATTAATGATGTTGGTAAGTTAATAGATACAACTAGACTAGCATTAAGAATTTCGGAAAATACATGTACCCAGCAAACACCTGACGTTGTTTCAACGTTGGATCTTAGTTGGATTTATGTCACGACGTCAAAATCCTAAATACAACGTTGAAACAACGTTGTATTTGCGACGTCGTATCAACGTGTTGGAATTACGTCGATACGACGTCGGATTTCAGTGTAATCCAACATAGTAGTCTTGATTGAGTTACTTCCCTTTGTTCTGATTTATAAATCCGATAGGTGGCTCTGATTGCAGGTCAATATAATCATTTGAATTTTGTTATTCATTTTTTTTTCACATCCATTGTATATTTTTTTTAAAAATGCTGTTATACTAGACCATAAAAAGGAACAATATTAGTATTACTTTTAAATAAATTGAAAAAAAAATAATGGAAACTTGATGAATTTCGAAACGAGGCTACAACAACAATTTGTTTTCAAATTCAAACAAAGACAAAGGAAGGACATTTTGCACATCATAAAAGACAATTCGCAAAGTGAAAAGTAAGTGATATTTTTGATGGTAGATTAGTATTAAACTTACTGCATGCATAGTATAATAACTGAAAAATTATTAGTTACATTAGGAATATAATTACATTTTCATTATATTCAATTCCAGTTAATTCATGTAGTCTGATTCGCCCTCATTTAACTCGTACTTTGGGATTCAATTGATATATAAATTGTATGAAATTCTGTCAAACTTTTTGTTTTATTTGTGTTGTCATTTTAAGCCAAGATCCCTACATGACCTTAATCTCTCTAATTCAATTTATCAGATTAGTAGACTAGATAACAATAGGTATTTCACCACAACGTATTTGTTAACAAAGGAACACCTGTCAATATTTGAGATTCAATCTATTTTAATTCAAATAGATCTACATGTAATTATATAAAAGGTCAAAGTAGGGATCTATCAATACATAAGTATACTGTCAAAGTAAATTTATAACTTTTTGTCAATAATCATTGGTTTTTTTTTTTTTATAGACTGACACTTAATTTTTGTGTGATGACAATTAGCTGATAAGATTGTATACATGAACAACAGTCAACAGAAAACACCATTTGGACATAAAAGAATGTAATAAGTGCATCAAATTAAGGTAATATATAGATTTTGATTTTGTTATTTACTGTAATTTCTGTTTTGACATAATTAACTGTTAATCAAAAGTAAAATTATAATAACCTGAAATGTCTTATGATTGAATTTGCACCTTTACATGTTACTGTTTTGCAAATTACATATATTTGAAGTTACAGTTTTTGAGTGTTCTACATCATCAATCGACATCTGATTTTAATTTATGATATGCTAGGGTAATCTATTGATAATGTTATTTTTATCTAATATAATTTAATTGACCATTTTGGTTGTTATGTACACCTATTTATTTCAGTTTCATTTTTGCAGTTTCAAGGGAAAAAAACAACAAGTTGAACCTCAAAACAAGTTTGACACAGTGCCTTCGTAGATGAAAATAATCAGGATCCAGTGGTGGACGTTTAGTATACCAGAATTATTCACATGGAGGAGTATATCTCCAAATTTAATACATTTAAGTTAGTTTTGAAAGAATAAAGATAAAAAAATACTTACTTTCTTTAAATGTGAATATTTATTTATTGTTTTGTGTGTTACACTTAATTTTGACAGAAAGGAATATTTTCCCTCACTTATCCGATTTGTTACCGATGAAATCAACTGCAAAAGAAAGCTTTATTTTCCATGATTTCCATTTTCTATGAGTTATTTAAAAGAAAACCTTTTTAAGCATGTTGTAAACATGAATACTTTAATTGACATATATTGTAATAGTTAATGTATACTGTAGACCTTTAAATGAAAATGATTTGTTGACTGTTGTTTGTTATAATTTTGGATTACAAAATGTGTATTATTGTATTGACTGAAAGAGGTCTGATAAATGTTGAACTTCAATTTTGAAAAGACATGTAGCTCTTTTTTTTATTTTAATAGTTTATATACAATTTATAAATATCAAACTTTATTTTATTATCACTATAAATGATTAAAAGTGAGTCATTTTTGTGATGTTATACAAATGTGTTGGAAATATATATTTACTGTATATTAAGTTTTACATGAATAGATAAATCAGAAACTGTGTTATACATTTAAATTTGTTTAATTGTTTTTATGATCACTTTCTAAAGTAATAAAATCACTTTTCGAGTAAAGAAAGTTTTGTATTTTCTCTTTATTTGGGAATTATTTAATGAAAACGGGTCAGGGTTTATGTTGGGAATTGGTTGGAATTACGTTGGAAACTATTTGGTATTACGTAAGTAACTGGTTGGAATCATGTTGGAAACTGGTTGGATTCACGTTGGGAATAGGTTGGAAAGTAGTTGTATATACGTTGAAAAGAGGTTGGATTTATGTCATTTGATGACGTTGGATTGACGTCGGACTCTGACGTCTAAAAAACTTTCATATACAACTAAATTCCAACGTCTATCCAACGTCGGACTCTAACGTCTGATCAACGTTGAAACAACGTCATGTGTTTGCTGGGTATGTTGTAATATTACATTTTTTGCTTGTTTTTTTTCTACCGTGAAAATAACGTTTTTATATTTTCCCCCAAATCGTGATCTGCATTTTTGAAGGAAATATTATCACCGCACTACGAGCTTCATTTTCATTTCTTTTCTTTGATAGATCAATCTGTTTCATTTTCATAACATGTATACGTAAAAAAAATTCAAACATAATGAAATACTGATTTACAGATAAAAGTTAAATGTTTGAGAAACCTTAATGATTAAGATGACTATTTAGAGACATTAACCAACATTAATCAAAGTTGTAGTTGCTTTAAATTGTTTTACTTTACTTTGAAGGTTTAACGCCTTTACATCAAGCGGTGCTAGACGGCAATGAAAGCGCTGTAAGACTTCTGGTAGCTCATGGTGCAGATATTAACAAACAAGACGATGATTCTTGGACACCGCTTCATGCCGCGTGTGCCGAAGGATACGCTGATATTGTTGCGTTAGTAGATTGCAATGTTGTATCTTTCTTTATAATTTATTTAAACGAGAAGCCCAACAGTGTCCTAATTGCAAATCAAGGGAGTAAAATGTATCAGCTTTCTACTTATATCACAGTTGCACCAAAATGACGTCACTTTTCACTGATGTAATTACACGTAACGGAATAACTGTCTGAATGTACATTTTTTAAAGAAATCTTTCGTTTATGTTTTAATGTCAAATATTCCGTATTGTGTTAGTATTGAATTCAGTCATAGAAGATATAAGAAAAAACTTTAAAGTTACATTAAATAAATATGTAAAAATATTTTGCCGTCGGCCTAAAAATCCAACATTCTACATTTTCATTAACCTGTTTAACAGTATTGTTTTAAATCTCGTCGAATATTGTTCATAAATAAGGATTTTAAAGGGAAAACCCCACGGTAACACTAATGTTCGTATACGAATTTTAACATGCAAATGAAGATTATAATCAGCTTGTGTATGCGCTACGTCACAGTGTTATAGCTATTATCCGGAACACAACAAATATGAGATTTTCTTGTGCAAACACATTTTAACCGTTTAACTACACGGTGCACTAGGCCTGAGGTTCAGTAAAAAGTAATCATCTCATAAAAAAAGATTAAATTTGTATGAAAACATCCGTTACAATGCAGAAATATACCGTTAAATTAGGACTGCTACCTATAGTCATGTTTGTTGCTTTAATATTGATGTACGGATGATCTGAAGGCGGAGTTTCTCATGCAAACAGATATTGTACTTCCGATTTCGCCACAATGAGGTTGTCCATTTTTTATGCTTATGAAACTCATTTTGGTTGTGTGGACACCAAAATAAGATCTGGAGTCGATATGAAACCCAATTTATTAATGAAATGTCGCTATTTCTGTTTTTATGAAATTTATTAAATGTAACTTTAAACTAAATGTATTGCAGTTCTCTTTTTTTTTGTTCACGTCAATTATAATATTTTCATTGGCCACATATGTAAGTCAGTTTTAAAGATCTTTATGATATAAAAGCTGTATATGCTACAACTGTCGATGGAATACTGGTATATTAAAATATTTTAGTTCAGTAGCAATTTACTTAATAATTGAAACGTGACAATATAATTATCTTGCATAACATCTTTCACAATCTTGCGCTACAACAATAACATATTTGAGTCGTGAAATGTTTTCAGTACATTTAATCAGATACCCTCGAAGATCGTTCAGTTGCATTCTGGGTGTTTTAGTCTGCAGTGTATCTTGTTTTACCATGTTGAGCGACCATAAAGGTTTTGACTACTTTATTGAATACAGTGAATAAAGTGAATAAAGTGTATTACGTTTATACTAAAGTTAAAAACTAGAAGATTGCATTTTTGCAATCATAAAAGTATCAAACATGTATGACTTTACGAAATATTTTCAGATTCTTATTGGACAACGGTGCGGATAAAACAATATTGACAGAAGATGGTGAAAGACCACTTGATCTTGTAGAACAATCAGATTTCGAGACTATTCGTGTAATGTTGGGCCACGCCCAATCTTGTGATAATGACCAATCAGATGACGACACATTGGAACAAGATGGCGGTACTTCCGTATCCGGATGACCTAATTTTTTATACTTTATTTTACCACAGATGTCTTTTTTGTTGTTCTTAGATATTATTATGTTAATCCAACGGGAGTTTTTCAATCTGCGACGGTTGGCAGTGACTACAAGTATTAGATGCATTTTACGATTTATTTGTGCCATTAATTATAAGTATCATGTGTAATTTTTTCTGGTATAATATCCCACATTCTTTTGACACTGTTTTGTGCAAAAAGACATTTAATTCATTCTGATTAAACAGAACAATGTCGAGCAACTGAGTAAAGTGAACGATTGTGATACATTTATTTGAAAGTAAAATTAAGTTTTTCAAGCTTATTTGTTATTGTTAACACGCATTGATATCAATTGGACTTAAACTATTCATGACAATCCAGTAAGAATTTCAAGCAAGTGATAAAAGCTATGAAGTAGTTTGTTTCTATGCTTTAGGCGTCAAAGTTAGTAAATATACGAAATGTTTCCTCAAAATTTACGTCAAATAAAAGATCGTGTTCATCGCTGTAACAAATTTTATAGTGAAAATAAAATGAGAAACTCAAACATTGGAAATATGAGTATAAAATGATACTATAAAATGAATTATTTTATGGATGAGTACATAACTTATTCTGAGCAATGCCGACTGAATTATATATAAAATTGTGCATTCAATGATAAAATTTGTAGTTTTCGAAATAATTTATTTATCGGCGACTCCGGTTTATCTTTAAATATGATTGTTTTACATCGCTAGTATTTGAATAAAAAGAATGAAATAAAAAAAGTACGTATTACAAGTGTGTTAGCGTCGACGAGACTTGCTTTTTTTCTCCGCGTTACGGTACGATAATCTGTATTTCGTTTACCACCATTATCACTGCGTGTTGTGGACAAATAGAACTGACATGAAGTTATACGTTTAACATAAAGGAAGAATTTGATTAAAAGTTTGCTATTGGCTAAATGACCTGTTAAAAGTTGAAACTCCTTTATATTACATGTCTCGTGCGCACGTTAGATATTAATCACTTTAATCGCTTACATTCTACATACGAAACACGTTTTTATATGACAAAATGAGTAAAACCTGTCAAAATGAAACTGAGAATATTTGCCATTCGTTTTCAATATATAATGAATTAAAACTTTTGTATTTTAGATGAAAATCAAATGGTATAGGAATTGCATTACACATGTGTACATGTAAACTAGTGCCAAAAGACCACACATAAAAAGGTTATAAAATAATGCAATACTGATTTATCCAAGCCTTATAGCCCGTCAAAAGTTTATATGTTACATTAGTAAATTTTCCTTAGCCGCGTATATGAGTGATATAAACGTCAGTATTATCCAGTGAAAAAAGACATTGTAACTTAATGCCAGTATTTTAAGTTTACTTTCGGTCAATTAAAGTATAGAACATCTGTCGTCAACCTTGGCTGTATCTCAGACTTTCACATGCGTTGTTTATTGATTAGTATCTAGAACATTAAATATGGAGGAAATTTTATCATCTTAATTGAAAAAATCTTGAATTTGATATTCAATATTTTCAACATATTCTTTTTTATTTTACTATTCTAGTATCACAGCCTATGGGTTGTTTTATTTTGGTTTTGTCATGAAAATGTATCTGGATTAGTTAAAAGTTTAAAACATATTTATTTCAGCTATATGTGTTAAAATATTGAAAGCAAGATATAAACTGTTTTAATCTGCTCCCTGGAACTTACGAGTAATGATGTAATATGAGAAATCATGGATCGTGAGCTAAGTAGGCTTCACATCCACTATCCCTGGGTTAAGAAAAGGACACATTTACCACAAGTTTACGACTTAATTTCTTTATTCTAATAGCATTAAAATTTGATGGTATATGTTTTTTAGGAGACTTTGATAACTGATGTCCCTGCACACGTATCAGTGCTTTACATCATCGGGCATGTATAAGAACCAGGGTCGCCCTATGAATGGGACAATAGAGTGTCGCCTAATGAATGGGACAACAGAGTGTCGCCTTATGAACGGGATTACAGTCTGTCGTCTCATGAACGGGGCAACAGAGGGTCGCCTTATGAACGGGACTACAGTGTCGCCTAACTCGCCTTATGAACGGGACAACAAATGGTCGTCTTATGAACGGGACAACAGAGTGTCGCCTAAAGAACGGGAATACAGTCTGTCGCCTCATGAATGGGACAGCAGAGAATCCTTTTATGAACGGGGCTACAGTGTCGCCTTATGAACGGGACAACAGATGGTCGTCTTATGAACGGGACAAAAGAGTGTCGCCTAAAGATAGGGAATACAGTCTGTCGCCTAATGAACGGGACAACAGAGGGTCGCCTTATGAACGGGACAACAGATGGTCGCCTTATGAATGGGACAATATATGTTTCTATGCATTGTTCCCGAAAATAACAACAAACTCTTCCTGGACGTCGCAGATGGGTTACCGAAATGCAACATTAAATGAAAAAGCAAAAAAAAAATATATAGATTTGATCGGAAAATGAGAAAGGTCTATTTTTGACACAAACACAACTGCGTTATTCTTGGAACTTGACAAAACGATACGCAAATTATACAATATGTAATAAAGTAATTTCTTAGCCTGGCGGAGCATTATCAATAATTCAAGTTATTGACTTGAAATCTCATTTTAAAAGCTACAAGTTTTTCCATGGTTGTTACATTACGTCAAATAATATCAAGCGAACTTTAAATCATTTATTATTCATGTTTAAATTCAATTTCAAAATGGAAACCTAACAGATATACTTCGCTGTGTTCATTTTGATTTATTGAATGTGTTTTATTATCAATTATTACAAGGGTTGTTGACTACCGAAAGGTTCGTGGAACTTGACAAAACTCGACAGTAGTAGTAACCAATTATTGTTATATTCATCAGAATTAAATTTATCAATTTTACATTTTCAATTTTATTTTCAATCGAAATTCAGTTTGCAAATTAGCAAAACATTTATCTATGGTCAGCATATCATAATCAAATATCAATGTGAAAATAAAAAAGCAAACTCTTGTTTAATAGTAAAAGATGTACAAAGAAAAAAAAACAATATTCAATTATAAAAAATTTAATTAAATTATGAAATATAATCAATATATACATAGTCATTTTTCAATCTTTAATTGTCAATAAAAGACGCGTTACAATCAACACACCCTTTCTGTTTACTCTTATCAAAATATGCGAGCTATTTATCAATTTGATTAATATATATTAATTATATACACATGATGACATGTTTGTTACAAAACCACAAATTGTCAACTAAATAAAAAATGTGCAATAATCCATAGGTAATCATTGCTTAACATTGGATTGCATGAAAAGAACGAACGTAATCCGTTTTAAGTGTAAATAAATAAAGTGTCAAACTTGACTACTACTTTATGTCTTGTTTCGTTTATTGTTTTGCACAATTTAAATACTAATCTTTTTTCTTTCTTTACTATCTATATTATATCCGCTTGTTGCAAAACTAGATGAAGAATCAAAACAGCTGATAAAATCAAAATTAAAAATTGTCAACCTGAGGTCAACACCTTACCACGTTTCGGACCAATTTCCACCTGAAGTACAGGAGCGTAGAAGGTCGTTAATACCAATTATGCTTAACGCCCGTAAAGAAGGAAAAAAAGCTACGTTAGTGAGAGATAAACTTTATATTAACAATAAACTACATATTACTGGATCCCCATCACCATCAGCAAAATAGGAAATACCAGAAAAGTATGATCTCAAAATTGTATCATGGAATATCGAAGGTTTAAACAAATGTTTCAGTGACGAAGATTTTTTAAACTTTATATATGAATTCAATATCATATTTATTTGTGAGACATGGCAACGTACAAATGATGACTTTAAACTTAATGGATATGAGTGTTTTTCAGTACCACGACCTCAGTCTATGATAAATAGCTGTAGGAGAGGTCATGGGGGAGTTTGTCTATACATTAAAAGAAATATTTTGCCAGGAATTACTGTTATCAGCACTGATAAAAATGGTTTAATTTGGATTAAATTATGTAAACTATTTTTTAACACTGTATATGATATTTATATATGTTTCATCTATATCCCGCCACAAAATTCTGTTTATTTTAATATGCATGATGTTGGGTTTTTTGAGGCACTGGAAGCAGATATTCGGAAACACTCACAATATGGAAAAGTGTCCGTTATAGGAGATTTAAATGCCAGATGTGGCAATAAATCTGATGTTATAGAATCAATCAATTATTTTGATAAGTACATTCCTGTTATTGATAAAGATTCACAACTTGAAAATATTGATATACCCATAAGAAAGAGTATGGACACTATAGTAAATTCGTCTGGTACCCGATTAATTGACATTTGTATCAGTACTGACCTAAAAATTATAAATGGTAGATTCGGTCAAGATGCGGGTGTTGGTCAATACACATTCATGTCCAATAACGGTAATAGTGTGATAGATTACGTCTTGTTATCATGTGACCTCTTTCGATATGTTAACAATTTTACGGTACATGATATGAATTCGTTGTCACCACATGCACCGATAAGTATTGAGTTTTCATTAAAGTATAACATACCTGTTACTATAAATAACCATGTAAATACAGATAAACTGTTATGGAATAATAATATGTCTCATTTGTACACTGAGGCAATACAAGGGGAGTTATTGAATATTGATACCATTGTAGATAGTATAATTTCACAAAATATTTGTTTAAATCAAGGTATAGAGCAAATATCAAGCATATTATATTGTAAAGGTTCTGACATTTTTGGTAGAAAAATAAAGACTAAAAATAATGTTAAATGTAAAAAGGAAAGAAAATATAAGAGTCCTTGGTATACTAAAGATTGTGAGGATGCTCGCCGTGAACTGAAGCGTGCAAATACTTTGTATAATATTAACCGCTCAGCCTGTAATCGTGAACTTATTATTACAAAGCGGAGATTATTTAGATTAGCAAAACGGCGGGCAAAAGCTAAATTTAATATTGAACAGAGAAAAAAATTGCATAGATTAGCTACAGGGCAACCTCAAAAATTTTGGTCTGAAATAAAAAAATTTAGAAAGAATAATAAAGAGACGTGTATTTCAAAAGAAGATTTTTATAACCATTTTAAATCTTTATATGCTAATGAAAATGTATATATGAGTGATCATGTAGAAGAAGATATATCTCGAAATAATAATGATATTAATATTGAAGAACTTGATAAAGATTTTACTGTAGATGAAATTATAAAAGCAATATCAGCACTTAAAGTAGGTAAAAGTGGAGGAGAAGATAATTTGATTGCAGAAATGTTTATAGAATGTAAATATATTCTTGCACCTTCTTTATGTAAGCTTTTCAATTTTATTTTCTCTTCCGGTGAATATCCGGAGACCTGGACTAAAGGTATTATTATTCCTGTTCCCAAAAAAGGTAATTTGAATGATGTAAACAATTATCGGGCAATAACTCTGACAAGTATTTTTTCTAAGCTTTTTTCAATTTTACTTGACTCACGTATACGTAAGTGGGCTGACTGCAATAATATATTTACTGATAATCAATTTGGATTTAGAACCGGTAAATCAACTGTAGATTGTGTCTTTGTATTGACATCCATCATTAATAAAATAATTAAACATGAAAAAAGAAAGGTTTATTCAGCATTTGTTGATTTTCAAAAGGCATTTGACCTTGTCTACAGAAATGGTATTTGGTATAAAATGA